CCATCTCCGAGGATAGGGCGGGGGCACGACAGGAAAGGGCAGCGTCTTGAAACACGCACTCGTCATCACCATCATCATCAGCAACATCTTGAAACACGTACTTGTCATCGCCATCGTCATCAGCAGCATCTTGAAACACATACTCGTCATCATCGTCGTCATCACCAACATCTTGACACACATACTCGTCATCATCATCGCCATCAGCAGGATCTTGAAACACATGCTCGTCATCACCATCGTCATCAGCAGCATCTTGAAACACATACTCGTCATCATCATCATATGTGTGTTGTTCCATATGGGAAGATATCAAGTTAAGTTCTCAACTCGGGTACTCTCTTCCGTAGCTGGTTTGAGGCTCAATCACCTTCCTGCTATCGAGTGCCGCCATCATCGCACGATCGTCGTCGCAGTCGCCATGTTGATGAATTCGACGCACGGATTGTTTGCCACCAGATCGCACATCTCTGGGGATGCTTGGGTCGCGACAGCGATGATATGAGAACGCACTTTGTGATAATATGAAAACGCGCATGTACACGCGCGCGCGACGTTGTCAACTGATGCCGATGATGATGATGCCAGTGACGGCGACGCAACGCAGCAAAACGAAGTTGTACGCACACGCGGTTTTATCAACTCCACGGGTCGGACCCCCCCCCCCCCACCCCCCCCGGAGGGGGGAAGGGGGGGGGGGGGGGGGGGGGAGGCGCATTTCTGAATCACTTCCGAATCATGTCCACGCTCCCTTGGGTGGTTCGGCACTGGCTTGTCACTGCACTTGTCTCGCGTGCTCGTCGCGTCAGCGTGCGCGATCCCCCCCGTGACCGCGAACGCACGAACCTACCATCGAACCTTCTACCAGGAATCGAAAGGATGAAGGCTCAATGAACACTGAATCATGATGAAGACAATGGTAAAATGGAATATTGGGCGGACAGCGACAGAAACAATACGCTCAGGCAATTGCCAGACGAAGAATCAGGGAAGGGCAATGCTCAATCAATTCTTCAATCCGACGTCAATGGTCATGGTGCGCCAGCTGGTCGTGCCCGCGTGCGTGGAGCGTGCTTACGAAATCAAAAGTCAAAGCGCGCGCAATGGCGCGCGCGGGCGGCCTTGCGGGCTCGGGCCGAACGCAAAACTAGCGGCGGCGAGCGAAAGCAAAACAACGCGCAGAAGCGGCTCCAGCCACGGCGCAGGGCTGCCGCGGAAAACATTGAAACAAGCGCCCAAAAACAAAATCCACACCCAGCTGAGCACATTCAAAACCCAGAACGCTGCGCGAAAACAACCACTATAGCGGTTGAAGAGCCGCGGGTGCGTTCGCTTGCGCGCCGCCAACGTGTCAATCATGGGAAAATAGCGAACTCAATATTAATTTCAAAATCCAATCGGTCACCGCTAAGGGACCACTTTAGTTTCCATGCCAACATAGCGACTTTTCTAGTGTGGACAATGCGACCCGCACGCGCGAACGCACGCGCGCGCGTGTTTTGGATGCCACGTGTTGCCCAACATGGATGATAACATGTAACAAAACCAACGTAAACTTCAACGCCAACGAGCGCGCGCACGCGGGGTGCCCCGTGTTGTCCATCATGGGAAATAACAAACTCAATGTTAACTTCAAAATCCAAACTGTCATAAGGGATCACTGTAGTTGCCATGCCCACATGGCGCCATTTCTATTGTTGACAATACAGCGCCCCCGCTCGCGCGCGCGCTGGATGCCCTGTGTTGCCCATTATGGAAACAACAACAAAACCAACGTTAACTTCAACAGGCGACTTTCTATTGTGCCAGTCCCTGTGCAGGACGCATGGGGCTAAGTGCATCATCAGGCCATGTTAACAGAGCAGCGGCGCGCGCGCGTGCGACTGCGCTGCCACTCATGGATACCATGGCTGCACGCAGACCGCAGCCCTGATGAGTGGTGCGCGGGGGGGGGGCTATTCCAGTCGACTGCCCCCAGCCATCAAAAGCGGCCGTCGAGAGAGACAGCAAAGGGGGGGGAGCGCGGGGATGCGTCTGCGGCCGCCCCCTGTCCCTAGAAAACAAGCTGCCGCCGTAGAAAGGCAGCTGGTGGCCTCAGGCCCGTGAGGCCCGCGGGCTCACCCCCACCTGCTGAGGGGGGGTGAGATGGCCAGGCAAGGTCCACTTGTCCAGTTTGGGCTGTCTCGCTATGCTGCGCCATAGGTGAGATGTGGGGACACCCCCGCCCCAGCGGGAGTTGCCCCGGGGCATTGCGGCCGCGGCCGGGCGCTGCAAGGTGAAACCGCCCCCAGCGGGGAGAGAGCGGCGAGCGTCTGAGGGGGGGCGTCGCCGTCGTCGGGCTGGGGGAACGCTGTCAGGCGGGCCCGCCCCTGCTAGCCCTTGGCGCACTAGTCGTCTCTGCCCCACCATCGTGCGCGCTTGTCGGTGTATCGGTCGTCTCCCCTGGGGGAATAGCGCATGCCTTTCCTTTCCAGTCCGTCTCCGTCCAAGGAGTTTCCTGGTGGCTCCAGGAAACCCAGTCCTGCCATCCCTGCCACTGGGTGGGGGTAGCAGAGCCGACGGCACCTGCCCATTGCTCCTGCGAGGCCGCCGCCGCCGCTGCCTTGCCCTCTTTTGTCCACGGGGCGGGACCGCTGCTGCTGTCGGGCCCGCGCTGAGGTGTGGGGTCTGGGCTCGCGCTGCAGGAGCTTCGTGTGCTTGTCCTTGACCGTTGGCCAATGGACGTTGAGCCCTAGGTCTCTATCCATCTTGTATGCGTCGTACCCTGCGCTGCCCCACGCCTGGATGAATTCGTTGCACGACTGCGCGGTGTTCCGCTTGGGGTCGTGCTTTTCAGTCCCGATGGTTCCCTGCCTCACGGCAGCCCTCTTCACCCATGCGGCCCAAACTTCATTGAACGCTTCTCCCAGCGTCTTTCGCATGCGCATTATCTTCTCCTGCACGGGTTCGTCCTTCATAACGTCAGCGTCCGTGACCGGGCACATATACATGGGGATGCCCCCCATGGGGTCGCTCGGATCGCTTCGGGGTGACTGCGGGCCCGGCGGGCCCGGCGAGCCCGGCGAGCCCGGCGGGCCCGGCGGGCCCGGCAGGCACCAGCGGGCCTGGCGGGCCCGGCGGACCCGGCGAGCCCGGCGAGCTCATCGTCGTGCTCTCGTCGTGCTCTCGTGCTCGTCGTCGTGCTCTCGTCGTATAATGCTCTCGTCGTCGTGCTATCGTCGTGCTCTCGTGCTCGTCGTGCTCGTCGTCGTGCTCTCGTCGTGTTTTCGTCGTGCTCTCGTGCTCGTCGTCGTGCTCTCGTCGTTCTCTCGTGCTCGTCGTCGTGCTCTCGTCATAATGATCTCGTCGTGGTCTCGTGCTCGTCGTCGAGCTCTCGTCGTGCTCTCGTGCTCGTCGTCGTAACAACTCTCGTCTTAGTGCTGGTCGTCGTGCTCGTCGTCGTGCTCGTCGTCGTGCTCGTCTTCGTCGTGCTCGCCGTCGTCGTCGTGGTTTCGTCGCCGTGCTCTCGGCACGGATTTGGTTCGCCAGAATATAAGTTCGCCAGGGCTTGGTTCGCCGGGGCTTGGTTCGCCGGGGTTTGGTTCACCGGGGCTCGCTTTGCCGAGGCATGGTTCACCCGAGTCGGTTCGCGCGACTCGGTTCGCCGGGACTCGGTTCGCCGGGGGATTCGTTTCGCCCGACTCGTTTCGCTGGGGCTCGTTTCGCCGGGGCTTGTTTCGCTGGAGGTCGCTTCGCTGCTCGCTACGCCAGGGCTCGCACCGGTCAGGGGGAGGGGTCTCAGAGGAGCAGGGGAGGAGGAGGGGAGGAGGAGGAGCACGTGAGGAGCGGGAAGAGCACGGGGAGGAGCAGGAGGAGCACGGGGAGGAGAGAGGGATGAGCGGGGGGAGGAGCACGGACGAGCTGGGGAGGAGGACGGGGCACCGGACACTCCGCGCCTGCTCGCGCTGCAACACGGCTCTCAGAGGGGTTCGGGTGCTCGTTGGCGGAGGGGCAATAAACGTGGAGTGAAGAAGCGTATGCGTGCATGCGGGATCCCATGACAGAATTTTCGCACCGCGTTTGGCGGACTGATCTTGACTGCATCTGGGACGCATTTGGCGCACCACCCCAACTTTTTATATGTTCTGTTGCATACGCGTCCTCTGGATGCACGGCCCACTGACTGACTGACGGACTGACTGAAGAAACGTACGCATTCCGTACACCTTTTGGGACTGCGGTGCCAGTTTAGCGGTCATGTGTGGCGCCTTTACTGCAGCCCTCGACGCTCCTGAGCTTACATATCCCCCCCGTTGCCATCCGCCAAATGGGGCTTGGGCGGAAACGCCGCGGCGCGGGCAGATGCACGAGTGCGAGCTGATGGCGTGAGGAGACTCGGAGGACCCACATCGGGATGAGAAATTGAGAGGACCCATGGCTCACAAGATGGCCCCAAGTGGCCCCTCAAGGCTCCTAAGAAGGCCACGGGAGAGCCTCACGAGGGCTCCAAGAGGGCCCAAGAGAGCCCCAGAGGCCTTCAGAGTGTCCCCAAGAGGGACCCACGATGGTCCCAAGATGTCTCCGAGACTACCAGAGCGTGACTGCATGCTGCTGCACATCCCTGATTAAGGCAACTTGCCTCGTGGCTGATTTTGGATGTGCTGGTGGGGATACTTTTTGGAACGCGGCTCCAAGGACACGTCCAGAGAGCGGGCTTCACGGCTGGAGCACAGAGCGAGATAATTGGCCGCAGAGGCACGCTGGTGGGGATACTTTTTTGATCTGCGGCCCGCAGGGAAAAGTCCAGAGGGCGTGTCAAGCTGGTGGGGATACGCGAAGCGTCAATAATTGAGAGGATGATGAAGGTGGGCAGATGGGGTCGGCGGTCTGGACTTCCAGCATGGACACCGCAACTCACACATAGTGACTCCCGTGTGGCGATGACCGCTTCCAGAGAGGCGCACGCCGATCTACGCAGCATGCCCACAACACTACAGCAGAGCCAAGCAAAGAGGCGATGCCTTGAACTGCCGCAGGGGTGAACACCTGGCTTGCGGACGACGAAACAACAGAAGTGCGACAGAAAATGCGTACGCGATGCAACTTGGGCTGGTGCGGGAAAATCTGAAAAAGGTCGAGGCAACTGGGGCGAGATCGACGGGCCAATCACAGCCTCCTTCGACATCGACTCCCTCGACAGCATCATCTGGAATGGAATATGACCCTCACAACAGCGTGTGAGAATTCCTCTCGAGATGATTCTGGCGAACCTTCTGAGGAAGATGCCTTCGAAAAGCGTAGACACCACCCAAAACGCGTAGACCCCACCCAAATTCTCCTCAATTCCTCTGCGCCATCCGTGGTCTCCTCTGGTCGTCCGCGTGCACACCTGTCGGCGAGGCGTTACTGTGACTTTTTCCCGACGATGATGCGATGCCACGAGTAGAACCATCCCCGTCCCCTTCCATCTCCCGCCCCAACGACGTGGTGTCTGGGCGTCCCGCGCTGACCCCTCGCCGCCACCTTCACCTCCCCCAGGATCCCACAGGGCCTAGGCAACCCAAGCCTCAGAGGGGCGAAAGTTTCCCGAGTACGAAGGGATCACTACTGGAGTCAAGCTTCAGGCACTCCGCCATTGCCAGCTGCGTGACCAAGGGTGAGATCATAACAAGCACCAGCATTACCATGACGCAAGCAGAAACATAAACGTGGGCACCACAACGCCAGAGCCCCCCAATGTTTGCCCTGGCACACGAGACTCCGCTTCTGTCCCCCCCACACCCTCTCTGCCAATCCCTGGGCCTTGCCCACCCCCTGGCCCTTGCCCCAGATCTCTGTATTTTCGCTCGTCCTTCGTCGCCACTCATCTTTACCTTTGAAGCGGGCTGTCCCTCCACCTTCACTTCCTAGGGCCCAGGCGACCGAAGCCTCAAAGGGGCGAAAGTTTCCCGAGGGCGAAGAGATCTCTGGAGTCAAGCTTCAGGCATACCGCCACTGCCAGCTGCGCGCCCAAGGGTGGGATCATAACGGACACTAAAGGGAGCGATATCCAACGCAAAAGCGCTCAGCAACTGCGGGGGGAGAGGAGGAGCGGGCGAAAAACTTGAGCCCCCCCCGTCCCCCCCAGCGCACGAAAGCGGGGCGCGCAAGAGCTCCCCTCTTACCCCTCTCTCCTCTGCGTTCCAAAGTCTGCCCGCCCCGCGCGTAAAAGCCCCCCCCTCTCCTGGCATTCCAGGCACTGCCCGTGCCGCGCGCAAAGGGGAAGGTCCCTCCAAGCTCCACGCTCTGCCCGCGCCGCGCGCAAGGGGGACCCCTCCTCCCCCCCGGCATTTCAAGCTCTGCCCGTCCCACGCGCAAAGCCCCGCCCCCGCCCGGCGCTCAAAATTCTTCCCGCGCCACGCGAACCTCCTCCCCCCCCGCCCCCGCCGGGCACTCCAAGCCCTGCCCGCGCCGCGCGCAAAGGCCCGCCCCCCCCACCCCCCGGCACGCCAAGCTCTGCTCGCTCGTCACGCTCGCAAGCCCCCCCCCGGCAATCCAAGCACTGCCCGTCCCGCGCGCAAAGGGGAAGCGCCCCACCCCGTCCCCAGCACTCCAAGCTCTGCCCGTGGAGCCCCCCCCTGCCCCTCGACACCGCAAGCACTGCCCGCCCCGCGCGCAAGGCTCCCCTCCCCCTCGGCACTGCAAGCTCTGCCCGTCCCGCGCGCAAAGGGCCCCCCATCTCCCCTCCGCACTCCAAGCTCTGCCCGCCCCGCTCGCAAGGGCACCTCCCCCTCCCCCCCGCACTCCGAGCCCCGCCCGTCCCGCGCGCAAAGGCCCCCCCTTCGGCACTCCAAGCTCCGCCCGCGCCGCGCGCAAGGCGGAGCCCCCCGCACCGCCCCGGCCAGTGCTTCAAGCTCTGCCCGTCCCGCGCGCACAGGGGAACGCGCTCTCCCCTCGCGCCCCAAGCCCCCCGCTCCGCTCACCGCCCTGTGGGAAACCGAACAGGGCGCGCCATACGACGAGGTAACAAAACCAAGAAAGCTGGCCTTGAGAACTCGTTTTTGCGATTCCAAAACGTTTTTGCGGCGGTCCGTGCACGTGGACTGTCGTTCGAAATACTTGCGCCACTGCTCTAGCGAAGCGCCGAACAATTTGCCCGAAGCGGGCTTTCGAGACGCAGGACCTGGAACGACAGAAAACCATTCTCAAGGCCAACGCGCATGGCCGGCGCACGCACCGGCAGACCTGGACGCTGCTCGACGCTCAAGAGACGCTCAATCGACGCCAATCGACTCTAACCGACGCTAAATCGGCACTATCTCATCGTCTCCCATGGACGCTAATCGACGCTAGAAATGGAATCGCGAGGGTATACAAGGCTCCCACGATTTGCTACCGAACCAGGCCCCCCCCCCCTCACAAACCCTGGGGGGACACATATAAATACCAATACCCCTACTCCTGGGACCTCTCCCAGAGCGCGTCCTGACCAGAAGCTCGAGGCGTGTCAGGCCGTGGCGGCGACGGGGGGCTCCCAGGAGGCCCAGAACGGCGAAAAAACGCGGGGAGGTAATTGGTACCTTTTCCTCCCACTCTCTTCTTCCCAGACATCCGACAGCGAGATTGCTTCAGCGCGCGGCCCCATACTTCCCAAGGGGTAGTGTTTCGTCCAGGATCCATTTCTGATGGACCTTGGGCCCAGAAAAACCTTCCGAGGGCCGGAATATATGAAAAAACATTGGACTTCAAAAATACATCATCGGATATCTGGATTCGAGGCCCAGCCAAGACACGCTTCAGACCCCCGACGACATGATCTGTTTAATAACGTCGACCCGGCCCCAGAGGTCTCAACCCATTGCCTGGGACCGGCTTGTCATAGCGAGTCACTTTTTGACGGCCCCAGGGCCAGGCGACGTAAAAAACTTGCAAAAAACCGTTCGCCGTGGTTTTTCGGCTACACGCAAGAGTGACCCTGGGTGAGAGTGCCCTTTGGTACGCGGCTCTTTGGGGGCCGCGGGGGGACCGAACGCAAGCGTGCAAGACGCTACTATCGCATCGCGTTCGGCGATCGGGGGACCCCATTGGGCCCGCATCAAAGGTCACTCTGGCGAGAGGTCATTCTTACATCTAGTCGATGTCACGACACGCCCTGCCCCTGGCCAAGGCACGCTTCGGACGCCGCCATCTTCTCCTCCGCGGTCGGGGCGTAGCCCATGCTTACGCGGCCAGCGCTGCAGCTCCGTGCACGCGGGCCGCGCCAGCTGGCGGGGGCCGGCTGCACAAAGCAGCGCGCCCTGGGGCTCTGGGGGCGGGCGGGCGGGCGGGCGGAGGTGGCGCTCCCCCAAGAGGCGTCTTGGCAGTATGCTACTGGCATTGCCGAGTGCTACAGTCAAAGCATGTATTCAGGACGGGTGGTAAGAAAGCAAGGCCCCTGGAAGTTGGGATTTTTGGGGCCGCGGGCGGCCAGTGAAAAAGCAAAGGACTGGCCGCAGAGGCAAGGACGCAAGGGTACCCTAGATGAAGGCGCGCGTCCTTACTAGTTAGGCGCGTTGACTGTATCAGAGCGACACCTTCACATGCGACATGCCGGTGGAGGTGCGCAACCAACCAGCCTCGAACCCATCCCTATCCCTATCCCTAACATCGGCAAGCCCAAGGCGGTGACATTCTTAGGGATGCGCCCTCAGAAAATGAGGGCATCCTTAAGATCGGCAGTCAAATCTGGGGATGCCAGTCAGGAGAAGAAGAGAAAACGCCATAAGCATAAACGTTTGGCGCTCCAGGCGGGTTTCTTGGATCTGCGCTGGAACCCGCTCCTTGGCGCGCGGAGCGCGCCAGGGGCGGCGCCAGAGGCGCCGCCAGGGGGGCCCAGCGTGGATCCAGGAAATCCGCGCGGAGCGCCAAACGTTTATGTTTATGGCTTTTTTCTTCTGCGAATCACAACGATAGCTGGCAAAACCATCCGCAATGCACGATCGTTGCCCGTGATGGCCACGTGCGACCTGGGGCTCTGGGGCGAGCGAGCAGAGGTGGCGCTCCTGCAAGAGTCGCCTTGGTGGTCCCTTCGGGGCACGATCCGTGTGTCTGCACCTGCTTCTACGTGGTGGTTCGGGGAGCGCGTGGTCATGTTGTCGGGGCTCCAGGGACGGGGAGGTCTGCACTGGATCGGATCGCGAAATCGGATCGGATCGAGAGCGGATCGAATCGCCAGCTAATCGTCCCGAATCGGATCGGTATCGAATCGCCGCGCCCCGCGTCTGGCTGGTCCTCGCCGGTGCCGGTCAAAAGAGCCGGATCGCATCGAATTGGAATCGCGGCCACAGCCAGCGAATCGAATCGCATCGGGATCAGTCAGAGCGCCAGATCTTGCAGGATCCTGCAGAGCCACGCCAGGGTTGCACTGACCTAGGTTTGGGTGCAGGGTCTTGCAGGATCCTGCAGGATCTTGCATCTTACAAGATCCTGCCAGGCCTGACTGACCAGGGTCTGGATTGACCTGGGGCATTAGATCCCCGATGTTGTCCCAGGTGAACGTTCGTGGAGCTGTCTCAGAGCTGGCCCAGGTGATCTTCAAAATCACGCGCTTCCTGTTTATGTCCCGAGATGATTGTGAAAACGGGCGGCTCGCCGGGGACATTCTCCCCACATCAAGATGTTGTGCCGCGGAGGCATCTTGGCAGTCCTTTTGGTGCACGAGCCGTGTGTCAGTACTTGTTTCTTTGTAAGAGGCCTCCTAGATGGGGTAGGAGAATTGCGCCGCATCGCCGATGCATCACCAATGCATCGGCGGCGTCGGTGATACATCGGCGCCATCGGCGTGCAGAAACTATGGATCCACATCGAGCCGCATCGCCGATGCATCGGCGATGCGGAGCGATCCTCCGACCTCATCTACTCGGACCCCGTTTGGGAGGCCTAGATCTGTGGTCGTTCGGGGAGCGGGCGTCCATGGTTGTCCCCTGCGAACGTTCCCGGAGCTGGCCCAAATGATATGTAACCTTGATGCTGTACGCTCTGGGGCAGGCTCTTTCAAAATCACGCGCTTCCCACTCATGTCAAAGAAGGCTTTGAAAACGCCTGAGACATCCTCCGTACATCGTGATGCTGTGTGCCGCGGGCGAGCGCACGGAAATGAGAACCCCGAGACCGGGCTGTTGCATTTTTTTCAAACCAGGCGGTTTCACACCGGCTCGGAACATGCCGCAGAAAGATGGGGTCACGGGCTCGGGCCATGTATCGCGATGCTGCATTTTGTTTGCAATGTCGGATCTCATGGGGGGCCGAGGGCGTGGACACCTCTAAGTGGGTGCGGACAAACGGGCAGGCTGCTCAGCAGCCTCGGGCGCAAACTTCTCCCTAAGATCGACAGGCCAAAAGGCGATGATAATCTTTGGGTTGCGTCCTCAGAGACTGAGGGGATCCTCGAGATCGGCATCCAGATAGGGTGGTGCCAATCACATGGGGCAGGGACACGCTTCAGGCTGGTAAGAAGTGGCGGGGCCCCCGCTCCTCGATCGCCGCGGAGGAGCGCGCGGCGCTGGGAAGGGGGGAGACGAGCTCGGATGGAAGGGGCTCAAGGACACGCAAATAAACAGAGTGCCTTACAACGAAGCTTTTTGCATTCGTTGTCGAGTGGGGGGTCGTTCTTGGGAGGTGGGGGGTGGGAAGCCGCCACGAAAGGAATCCCTTTTGCATTCCATCGCAAAAAGAATTCCTTTGTATTCCGTTACAAAAGAATTCCTTTTGTATTCCGCCACAAAGGGAATCCTTCTGTATTCCGTCACAAGAAGAATTCTTTTGTATTCCGCCACAAAAGGAATTCTTTTGTATTCCGCCACACAGGGAATCTTTCTGTATTCCGTTGCAGAAGGAATTCCTTTGTATTCGCTACAAAAGGAATTCCTTTGTATTCCGCTACAAAAGAAATCCCTTTGTATTCCGCCACAAAAGGAATTCCTTTATATTCCTCTACAAAGGGAATCTCTTTGTATTCCGCTACAAAAGGAATCCCCTTGTATTCTGCTACAAAGGAAATTCTATTGAATTTGTATCACTGCCTGAAAACCTGTGTTCACAGCTTTTCAGCTATTTTCAATGAAAAACATTGTTTTTTCATTGCCTGGCACAGCTATTCAGCTATTTTTAATAGAACATATTGTTTTTTCATTGCCAGGCTCAGCTATCTTAGCTTTTTTAATGATTTTCCAACTATGGCGTATTGATTTTAATAAAAAGCTGTGAAAACACATGTTTTTCTTTGATTTTCGAATGAAAAATCAAAGGAAACCCTGTGTTTTCACAGCTTTTTTGCTAGTTTCAATGAGAAACGTTATAAAAAGCTGTGAAAACACATGGTTTTCTTTGCTTTTTCATTCGAAAATCAAAGAAAGCCATATGTTTTCACAGCGTTTCAGCTATTTTCAATGAAAAACATTGTTTTTTCATTGCCTGACACAGCTATTCAGCTATTTTTAATAGACAAAATTGTTTTTTCATTGCCAGGCTCAGCTATCTTAGCTTTTTAAAGGATTTTCCAACTATGGCGTATGTATTTCAATAAAAAGCTGTGAAAACACAGGGTTTTCTTTGATTTTCCATTGGAAAATCAATGAAAACCCTGTGTTTTCACAGCTTTTTATTAAAACCAATACGCCATAGTTGGAAAATCATTAAAAAAGCTAAGATAGCTGAGCCTGGCCATGAAAAAACAATATTTTTTATTAAAAATAGCTGAAGAGCTGTGCCAGGCAATGAAAAAACAATGTTTTTCATTGAAAATAGCTAAAAAGCTGCGAAAACACAAGGTTTCCAGGCAGTGATACAAATCAAATAGGATTTCCTTTGTAGCAGAATACAAAGGAATTCCTTTTGTGGCGGAATACAAAGGAATTCCTTTACAAAGGAATGCGGCGGAATACAAACGGAATAGGAATTCCTTTTGTAGCGGAATACAAAGGAATTCCTTTTGTAGCGGAATACAAAGGAATTCCTTTTGTAGCGGAATACAAAAGAATTCCTTTTGTAGCGGAATACAAAGAGATTCCTTTCTCTCTCTCTCTCTTTCTCGCTCTCTCTCTCTCTCTCGCTACTACTGCTACTACTACTACTACTACTACTACTACTACTACTACTACTACTACTACTACTACTACTACTACTACTACTACTACTACTACTACTACTACTACTACTACTACCATTACTACTACTACTACTACTACTACTACTACTACCATTACTACTACTACTACTACTACACTTTTACTGGTTCTAAGAGCACCACAGATCCTGTGAGCACCACAGAGCCCACGAGCACTGGTGCACTATATATTAACCCCGCAATACCTGCATCCACCACAGGTCCTATGAGCACCGCAGAGACGGCGGAGGAGAGCGCAAAGCGCGGAAATCTCACTGATCAAGGGAAATCTCGTGCTATTTTCATCGCGTCTGGTCTGCAGAGAAGCTGGTAGCTAGCAGCTACCCTAGGAATGCTGGCGAGCAGCCAGCTTAGGGTGAGGACGAGGAGGAGAGGGAGGAGAGACGACACTTGATGGCGAGCAGCCATCTTGAGACTCATAGCCGGTCCCCGTCTGGAGTGAGGAGAACAACCAAAGTGCTATGAGGTACTTCAGAGACAGCCGTAATATTGTCCAGCATTGAACTTACCACGCATTGCACCTCATCAAGAAGAATTCCATTCGCCGCCCATTCCCCCTTCCACCTCTGAGCGTACCACAGCTCTTCAACAAGACTTGAATCTGTGAGCGCTGCACGTTTCATATAGCAACGTCTGCTCTTGTAAGTTGGAATATCTATGCGGCCGAAAAGACCCTTCGAACCCAGAATAGTACAAGATTTGAACTCATTCCTGAATAGCTTAGAAGGCGTCCCACCAATCTGAGCAGTTGACCGGCCATCAACAGTGAAAGCCCGCATAACCGAATTTATGTTATCCACGCGGCCAATATGGGCATCTGCATATTTGTATGTAGGCCACTTATGCATAGATGTCTCACTAACGATGCAATGCAAGTTGATATCTTTTGCAGTATTGGCGTTCAACTTGTTCTTCGCTGCGGCGGCCAGCAATCCACCATCCAATGCGTGTACCAAATAAGAAATAGCATTTGACGTATGCAAAACCATATTGTCAATTGGAAGCCGAACAGATAATTGTTTCCATCCCTTCTCCTTGCTTGTGCGCACTACAGTATCATTGAAATTGCCATCCAATGCGTCGTCTCCAGCAATTATCCATATATCTTTAATGTCATAAGTGTCCGAAGCGAAA